GAGTCGCCGCTCCAGGCTGATAAATGCGGTATACAAATGGAGTAAATAAATAAATAAATAAATAAATAAAAGCGCAGTTTGATGAACTCCGTGGGGGAGGACTGGCTGGCGGGCCGCGCACGGCTCGTGCTATCGTCCCTGAGCGCTTTATCGGAGATAAAGATGGTTTGCCACTGTTTTTGATGCAGACCGAAGTTTATTTTAAGCAAGTGCCTGCAACTGCTTATGCTACAGATGAAAGCAAAGTGGCTTTTGTGATCAGTTTGCTGTCTGGCCGAGCGGGTAAGTGGGCAGTAAATCTGGTTAATAGCAATAGCCCCTTACTGCGCAATTATGCTGGCTTTTTGGACGCTCTTAAGGAGATGTTTGGAGACCCTCTCCAGGAAGAGAATGCCAGCCGTGAGTTACATGCTATCCGGCAAGGGAAAGAATGTGTGTTGGACTATTTGAATCGTTTCAACCATCTGAAACAGCACTTGGACTGGGGCGAGAAAGCTTTTATGACTTGCTTCACAGCAGGGCTTGCTCCAGCTTTAAAAATCGAATTGGCACGCTTTGAACCTCCTGACACCTGGGAGGCTTTGACTAAAACGGCTCTTCGACTGGAGAGGAGACAGAACATGCTGAGGAAGGAGGGCTATTTCCAGCCGCAGTTCCAGTCTACCCCCTCCCCTCAAGTCACCGCCGCTGCTGTCTGTTCCAGTCTGGATTCCGAGGAGCCCATGCAGCTGGGGAGTCAACGCCGGTTATCCAGGGAGGAGAAGCAGAGACGGCGTCAGCTCAATTTATGTTTGTATTGCGGAGCGGGGGGCCATTTCGCCCGCAGTTGTCCGGCCAAGGCTCCCAGGGAGCAGGGAAAAGGCCAGCCCTAATGTGCACTGGGGCAAGCACATTAGGGCCAGCGGTTCAGTGGCCCCGGTGTAAAGACCATGTGTTTTTACCCATTGAACTCTGTTCTAACCAAGGCAATAGGTTCTCCACTTGGGCCCTAGTGGACTCTGGGGCAACCGGGTC